GAGGTGAAGGACCAGCCTCACTCCTGGCATGCCCGATTACGCAATGCTGCTGGCTTCCTCAATGGTTAGGAATGTTGAGTAGTTATACTATACTGCACAAGCTAAGCTGATTGCGCGATAGTAGATAGAATAGATATATGAAAAGATAGTCGCTAGAGCAGTGGTCTCCAAAGTGGGGTGCGCACACCCCAGGGGGTGCGCAAGAGGATCCTTGGTGGTGCACGGCAGGAGGAGCACTTTTATTTTTTAGTGCTTTGGCGCGGCGGGGTGCGTGCTCAAAATTTTTTTTACTGATAGGGGTGCGCGATCAAAAAAGTTTGGAGACCACTGCTCTAGAGTATAGAAGAACTGGAAAAAGCACTCCAAGAAACCGAAGCTTCCAGAGTTAGAAGAGCCTAGAACTTAGAAGAGCTTAAGAGCTAACAAGAGCTCTCTTACAAGGTATTTTATAGGATCCTGACCTATGTAATTCAGGCCCAACCTCCTATACCAAAATCTTATTTCCGTACCCTAAGAAATTTATGAGTACCCTTCTCCTATAGGTTAGTGGATTATGACACTTACTTTCTAAATATATTAATAAGGATTATCTCACTCCAAAATTGCCAACCTAGGCTCTCTCGATGACCTCCAAGTTGTGGTGTACCCTGCAGTTACCAATTGGTTGTAGATGCCAGATAAACCTGTGATGTGGATAGTTCCTCCCTTTGGTTCCCCAAAGTTCAGGGACCATTCTTATCTGTGCCAAAGGTTGCCAGCTTTTATGCGGACATATTCCTAATTGATTATACTTTTTGCTATATAGCAGATCTTACAGGCCGGTAGGCTTCTTGCATTTCAGCAAAATTTATTATTAGGAAACACATACCTCAACACATCCTAAATTCCAAGGAATTAATATTAATAAAATATAAGAATAAAATGGATTAATTTCAGAAAAAACATATTAATTGATACTGCTGGCTGGATTAGTAGGATACAGTAGCTCGCAAAATAATCCTATTGGCTACAGCGCAGAGGTCAGCAGTGTGTGGAAGAGCTACTAAAAATACCCTAAAGGATGACACCCCAAGAATTATTATTTCAAATAATAGCTAAAATTCATTAGTGTAATTTGCATAGATGCAAATGTCATTTTGAAATCAAAAGGGACTGTGCAGATGTATGATGCAGTTCAAAAGCAAAGACCTTGCCCTCTTTCAACATCAGCTAAGAACGACGCATCTTGGAGTAACATCTTTGGGCAGTACTTGCTGCAATTCATAAAAGTATACAAAAAGGAGTGTGTCTTGTGCACTAGATGTCTGATAAACTACAAATATCAAAAAACTAGAACTAGCAACTAAGTTTTGCTATTGTAGATACTTAAGAATATATTCCCCTTTTAATACCTATGCACGTTTGAAGTCTTTGCCATTTCACAAAGATTACAAAGCTAAACTAATCAAAAAGCAACAACAGTTATTAAACTAGAAGCCAGACACCAAGCTACTCAAGCCATGCATTTTTTATTCTTCAGTCCCAACAACCCACTAGACACTAGAGTGGTGCATGGCTACAGTTCAGATCACAGGACTGCAGTGCTCTCACCAGGTGCCCTGCCCTTCCTTTTCACAGAGCCAGATCTCCCATCTCTTTCTCCCATCCAAGCTCGCCTCCGCAATACATGGCCAGCATACTACTGCAGCCACTATTTACACCAGCTGGTGCAGCTGTTGTGTGTCAGCAGGACAGTAGCTTCTTGACTTTCTTCCTTAGTCAACTTGCTGCTCCTCCAACACAGTAATGCCAGAATCATTGTACCATAAGCTCAAGACCCATTTCGTTCTATTTTGCAGATAAAATTGCTCAGATTTGGTTAGAACTGTCTGCCTCCATGGGATAAGAATATGTGCTAAAGGAGATAATGCCAAGTCTTCTCTGCTTGAGGTTAAGCCAGGGTCAATCCTTGATGATTTTGGAAGCACTTTGGCCATCAATTTGTGCTTAAAACCTACATCCTTCCTGGATGGTGAAAGCATGCAGGAAAGAACTGGGTACACTGTTAGTACAAATTATCAATACCTCCTTGAAAGAGAGAGGTATCTCTTTCACTGAAAGAAGCACACGTACATCCTGCACTCAAAAAAAAAAAAAAATCACTGCTTGTTACTGAATCTTTCCAGCTATCATGCCATTTTAAGTCTTCCATTTTCAGTTAAGATTATTGAAAAGGTTGTGGTGAGATAACTCAAACACTGTTTAGTAGCCTCAGTTCTTTTCTACACTAGTTGCCAACCTGGGTATAGCAAAGACAGCTCTGGTGGTATCGGGGGATAATCGCCTCCTGACAATAGATGAAGATCAAGTATCTATCCTGATATCATTACATCCATGATCCATCTTTGATACAGTTCACCATAATTGGATGTTGACTTTTTTGCAAACTATAGCATGGGTGAATAGGTCTATTTGAGTGGCACTTTGATGGGCACTCTCATAAGGTGGTGTAGGACACCTGCATCTTCTCCATGTGAGTACTCTCCTGGGGGGTTCTGCAACCTTTTGTTTAATGCATACATGAGGCTACCAGGAGTTTTACATGGACCAGAAGGTCTTCAATATTCTGAAGGCACTCAGCTTTATATCTCCATCAGCATGGCTGGAACTGCTGATGGCATTACTCGGTGTCTGGAAAAGGCTGAGGCATGCACGAGGGCAAGATGGCTAAGACTTAGTTCAGACAAGGCAAAAGGGATGTTGGTTGGTTGTAGGAAGCAAGCTGGAAGAAGTGACAAGGGTAATTTGATGCATTAAATTGTGGGTGTGCATCTGCCTTTTGTTACCCGGGTTCATAATCTTGGGATCTGGTGAGGACTGTATGGGATGTGTATATGTTCATTTCTTATATTTGTGTTGTCACTTGAGTTTGATTTTGGGGGTAACTAATGGGTCTGTTTAGTTGCTAGTATATTTTAAAGAGATTGTCAAGGGTTACCAGAGCATGGTGGAGACACTTATGTAGTAGAGTAGTAAAATCTAAATAAATAAAATAGCTTGCCTGCCAAATAACAGAGCCCCATCTTCTTTTTCGCATTTAGCACAAAATTATACTCACTACTAAATGCGATGTTTTGGGATAGCCGAGTAAAATTTCATTTTTTCCCCATCATTATCAACAACAAGAGGACTGGGGCACATGTCGCCACCATGAAAACACTTTTTAAAGATAATATGAAGGGAGCGCATTTCTCATAGGTCTCTAAATATTGACTCTTGCAGAAAATGTCTTTTCCTGCAAGTGTTAAAAAAGTCACACCCTCCGTAACAGTGATAATGCAGTAGCCTCCAACCAGCAGAAAGTGGTCCTCCAGTACATTAGTGGTTCAGGCTTTTGAGACTGGTACTCTAGGCATCACCTTTAAATTTATGTAAGGCTCTGCTGGGCCTCAATGCATTGTCACTGCTACTTGTTATTTATCATTCATGTTCAAAGCACTTTACAGATGTTAACTAATACTCCTGTCAAACTGTACACTAACATCCCAGAGAGATTAGAAACTCTAAGACTGGAGTGTGGTGGTGCTCAAGCATCATAGGATGTACAGATAAGTGTCAGATGGGCAGCTGTGATAGCACATCCATCTTTAATTTGAGGCAGTGAAATGAAAAAAAAAATCCATTCATCTATTTGGCACTGTGGAGTAGGATGCATTCAATGGGGCACGTGCTTGTGATGGTGCTACTATGGCATCAACTTCTGCAGAATTTATGGTTTCATTTAAAAGTGAACTGTTTCTAACCTTCTGTACTTTATGGTTCTGAAGATAACTTTCTAAAAGTGAACTAATGCAGTCTTGTCTTTCTGAGCTTACAAAATGAAATCATGCTGCTCATAGCTTCGCCAAGAAGTACTAAAATGAAATGTATAAAGCACTGGTCAGCCTTCACTGTTGCTATTCACAGCACTGTAGGCAGCAGTTAGAGTGTCAAGAATTATGTCAATTTCATTCTACTGTTACCTGGGAAAGCTATAGTGAAAATACTAAAGATAATAGGGATACACCAAAACAAAAACAAAAAAAACAACAACAAAAAAGTGTAAAGATTAAACAGCAGGGGCCAGTACAAATTAAGATTTTGAACCATATAGTCAGTCCTCTAAATCAGGGCTTGAAACAATTAGGGAAGAGGATAAGATGCCTACAATTTGAAGTGTGTATACAAAACGAGTGTGTGGGAAGGGAGCAGAGAGGAGGACAGCACCCCAAAGGTCTGTATGTCAAACTCTGGTGTTAATCACCCCTCCACCCCCAAAAGCATGGGGAGCAGAGAGTAGTGAGCTGAGTAGTGGGTTGGAGACACCTGTTATCCAAACCAAGGAAACCCGAGTCCACCACGGAAGGAGGGGAGGGGATCAGGAATAGCATTATCACATTAATCCCAAACACCCTTCCCCCACCTGGCTGCGGAGACCTAGGTTAACACCCGAATATCACACTTTGGCCTAGCGGATTCTCCTCTCCCCACCTTCCGCCCAGTATTCCTTATGCACATTTCATATCGTAGGCGCCTTCTTCCTTTGCCGACTAGAGATCTGATTGTTTCAAGACCTAATCTAGAAGATAAACTACAAGGTGCAAAATTTCAATCTGGTGAAATCGGTGCAGCAGCCGAAAAGAGCTGACTCTACGCACCTGCAATGCAAGGGGCAGCCGGCCAGCCACCGAGCTATTAGGGGACTCTGCATCTCCTGCCAGCCCCGAATGCCTTTCCAGCAGCCAGGGCCCGGGGCAGGCAGCCCGAGTCTCCACCCCAATCCCCCAGCTGAGGGCGCCCAGACAGCAGGAGGCCTCCTGTGAAGCGACCAAGCGAGACACATGGAAAGGGGCAACCCTCCCCGGGCAGCTGCCCCCTGCCTGGCACAGGCCCAGCAGCGCTACCCAGGCCGGAGGGAAGGGGATTCCCCTGCCCCCCCCTTTCCTGTCCTCTTGCAGCCGAACGCCCGGGGCGGCACCTACCTTCACAGCCACCTCCGGGGCCGAGTCCACCGCCGAGGCCTGCGGGGCAGAGGGCGGTGAAGCGAGATGCAGCACCGAGTCCCGGCTGGCTACCAGCGCCGAGCGGCGGGAGCTTCCCTCACTGTCCGAGCCCGAGTCGGAGCCAGAGTCGGAGACACCGTAGGACGCGAGCGCGGCGATAGCGGCCGACATCTTAGCAAGGAGGAACCACGGGAGCAGTGACCCGGAACAAACGGGTCCTGTCAGTTACATAATAATCCGCTCCTAGATTTATTTGTTTTTGCGACTGAATTAAAATTACTCAGATTCGATTTAACAAAAATAAAAATTATTATTTATAATTTTCTGAGTCTCTAACGAAACTTTTTGGGAAGCATAATTCCCCTCCCATGAAGCTGAAGGAGGGTTTGATCTTTCAGGACTCACAGCAAGGACTACAAATCCCAGCGTGCAACGCGCCAGAGCTGGGCAGGTCGGATTTGAAGGGTCTTGCAGTGTCAAAGCAGGATTCGGTGTTTCTGAAAAGGAAAACTCCGTCTCTCCCACTTTCAGCAGAATGACACGATCACTGCCTCTCTGACAAGTGACAAATAATAAATATAGCAATAAATGCCTCAAAGAAAGCACTCCAGAACAAACAAAAAACCCTCAACCAAAAAGAGAATGTCACTAAAACTAAAGACCCCAGGGTGACATACTCCCAATCATCCATGGAAAGTACTGTGGGGTAGACATAAGCATAAAATCATCTAACAGATACTGATTTTCCAAGCCTACTATTTCCACATTATCCATAGCTCAAATTTGTGATGAAATCATTTAAAAAATGAAACTTGAATGACGGCTTTGGATGTTTGGGGCAATATTTTACATTTACCTGTAAATTATATACATACAATATTCCCATAATATGAACTCTACACTTCTTCCCCTTATTCCATTGCAGTCAGGGAAATGGACAACACCATTTGTCTAATTTCAACCTCCAGCCACTGGATTGCATTCAGTCTAGCAGAGAAAGGTATAAAATGATCCAACGGCTGGACATTGAAGCTAGACAAATTAAGACTGGAAATAAGGTGTAGTTTTAATGGTGAGAGTCATTAACCACTGGCAAAATTTACCAAGGGTTGTGGTGGGGTCTCCAACACTGACAATTTTAAAATCAAGATTAGATGTTTTTCTAAAAGATCTGCTGTAGGAATTGTTTTGAGGAAGTTTATGGCCTGTGTTATACAGGTCAGACCAGATGATCAATTGTTCCTTCTGGTCTTGGAATCTATTAATCATCTGGGGTTGGTTGGGTCCTTCTGCAACCATCTGCCATCTTCTTCTGTCCAAGGCAGCAGTGAAGTCCACCTGCTTGTCTTCTTTGATACAATCTAGTCATCACTTCTTTGGTTTCAATATGAACTATATGCAATGGACAATGCGTGCACTATCAGGTCTTCTTAAAGACATGGATTTCACAGTAGTTTGAATTAATCTTCACAACCCCCATCCCCTGTGAGATAAGTAACTTTAACAGCCCTGTTTCATACATGGGGAAATTGAGGCATACGTATATTCAGGGACTTGCTCCGTGCAGTGCCAGGTCCCCGAAGAGAGACCTTACACTTGCCAGGGCTGGCTCCAGGCACCAGCGAAGGAAGCAGGTGCCTGGGGCGGCCAATAGAAGGGGGCAGTAGAGCGTCCCTTGTTGGGGCAGCGTGGCGGCGGCACTTCGGGGGCAGCCCAATCGGTCCTGTCTTCAGCAGCAATTCTGCGGCGGGTCCTTCACTCCCTGTCTTCCTCTTTGGCGGTACTTCGGCGGCAGCTCAATCAGGTTTTTCCTTTTTCCCCGCAGCTTGGAGCGGCAAAAAAGCTGGAGACGGCCCTGACAGCTGCGCACCAACCAGAAGAACACGCTGCGCGAAATACAGTAGGACGAATTCGAAGCACTCTTTTCTCTGAAACAGCCCCGCCCACTCTCTTTGGAGCTGCCAGCAGCCCCGCCCACTCCCATTCTAGCTCCTCCTCTCCCATTCCCATTGGCTTCCAGGAGCCGGCTTTAGACTACGTCACAATACCCGCGGCCCGTCCCCCTAGCTCGAGTAAGTGAGAGAGCGAACTGGACTATACCACCTGCCATCTTGAGGGGGTGTGTGTAGAAATCGGGGTTCCCTGATCCTCAACGCCACGGATGCTGGGGGGAGGCACCCACTTAGTCCCTGGGGGAAGCGGCGACGGCCGGTTAGGTGTTGGGTAAACAGCCCCCGCGTGCTTGGAGAGGGAGTCCGGGCCGAGGGAGAAGCCCCTCCTCCCACGCGCACACACGCGCCGCTCTGTGTCTATTGTGAAGCCTTTGGGGAGCTCCGCGCCGCCGCCCCCAGCTCGCGCCGGGTTCGGGTCCTCCCCCTCCACAACGATTCTCTCCAGTGGGGAGAGGCGGTTGGAAGGAGCCGTTTGAACTTCGGATTCGTACAGACCAGGGGGCAGCGCGAGCTTCTGGGGCGCTGAGAGGGCGGGGCTGGTCGGCGGCATGAAGGTGTGAGAGCAGCAGCGCACGGACCAGAGAGAGTAAGTGCCCCGCAGCCTGCACCTCCTCTGCCGTGACCCGCGCCCACCACGGGGAGGGCGGCCCCCGTGTCCACCCACCCACGGGGAGAGGGATGCCCCTTCATCGGGGGGAACCCCCCTATGGAGCTTCTCCATTCTTCCATCCCCACCTAGAGTGACACCTTCGCTGTCCCCCCCCCCCATCTTCTGTGGGGTGAAGGGAGCAATAGGGCTGTGCCAATGTGGTCCCTGTCTCGCTGTCTGCCGCTGGTGGGGGGTGAGCGCCGAGCCCCCTGCGGCTGTTGCAGGGACAGGTGTGTAAATTCCTCTCGCCTGGCCGGGGTGGGGGAGGGGGGTTGCACTTTTAGTAGCGGAGTGTGCCTCTGCACGCCCCCTCCCCCGCCTCCTGTACAGTGCCCAGTGCGGAGCCTCGCTCAAGGGGCGGCGGGACCTTTTATTGTTGGGGTCAGTAATCGGGGGAGGGGGGGGGGTTCGTTGGCTGTCACCAGGTGCTAGCTACTATGTTGATCTGAAGGGGGTGGGGTTACCCTGACCCAGCCACCTCCGCTTAATTTATGTAATGGGGACTGTAGAGGCCAGAGGTGGGGATGGATGATGGAGCTAGATGCGATTTGCCTTTTGAAGAGAAGCAGATTCGATCATATTCAGTGGAAATAGCAGCCCATTGAAAGATTGCTACCATTGTTCAGCTGTCGTGGAGATCTCGGCTGCCTGCGAGCAAAAGACCTCCAAACTGCAATCCTAAAAACATGTAGCGTCCGCCTCCTCCAAACACAAAAATATCCATCCCCCTATGCCGGTTTAGCTTGTGGATACAATAATTATAAAACGTAATAGCCCAAAGTAATCTCCATTTGTATCTTAAGCATGTACGAAGTCCTTCTGGATCATTACACTTTGTGTATCTATGATTTCGTTTAATTTAGTTTTGTGTTTGGAATCAGAAGTAAATACAGTAATTAGATGTTTTAGTTTGATTTGCAACATTAGATTGTCAGTCATTCACATTTTTTAGCAAATGTTTCAGTTTTAAAGGAAACATTGAATTTCTATGAAGATATCAACAGAATAAAGAATAGCAAGTAGAAAATGCAGATAGTGAAGCTTTTATATTTATTAAATGTTGTCTTTAGATTTTTTTAGTGGTCATTGCCATAAGGAAACAGTACACTCTAGAACCAAGGTGGCAAAAATAACATTGACATGAAAATAACTTTGCAAGAGTCGTTTTAGGGGAAAGTTCTGTATTTCCAGCATTCTGGACCTTTATTTTTGTTTTTGACGTTTGAAGTGTACAACTTTTATTTCAGATTTACGAATGGACTCTTTATCAATGGTGCAATAGCAATACAGGTTATGTGATTTACCTTACTTACACACCTGATGTGAGTCACCCTGTATGTGATTTATTCATTTTGAGAATGCAGCTGTCATTGATTCACACACTGCCTGCCAGCAATTGTTAGGTGATTCTATAGAAGTGCATTCCTTATTTTCCTGGCATGCACTTACAGGGTGTTGTCTGTAGTTGCATGATGTGGTTGTTGAAAGGTAAAGTATCTCAAGGTCTGTTTGCGAAACCAATCTTTAATATAACATTGCTATTTAAATATTGTATCTCAACTATTATGCTGCAAATGTTTCAATTGATGTAAAAGCAATATTTTATTATTGTTGAATCTCTAGATTTAATACACAGAGTTTGATTTTTCTCATACTATAATAGGGGAAATTACAGCTTTTAGTTAAACACTGTTGTGCTCAGAAATTATAATAAAGTGTAATCGTTTAAGGGTTTGGGGTGGATTCACAGTACAGCCTTTGGAATAATTTGCTAGTGTAAATTAGCTGTTGTCCATCTGCTACAAACTAGTGAGGTGTGTTCTTCAACACACTCTTCAGAATTCAAACAATGGGTAGGTCTACACTTGTGGTGACTTGTAGAGTATAGATGTTGCATGTTCAGCTAGCTCGGGTATAAATAGTGGTATAGAACAGAAGTTCTCAACCAGAGGCCCAGGGCCTCCTAGGGGGCTGTGAGCAGGTTTCAGGGGGTCTTCCAAAATTAACCATAGAGCAGACCCGAGTTAGACTTGCTGGGGCCCAGGGCAGAAAGCCAAAGCCTGAACTCTGCCGCTCGGATCTGAAGCCAAAGTCCAAGCAATTTAGCTTCGTGGGGCCTCGGGCAATTGCCCTGCTTGCTACCCCTTAATGCCAGACCTGGCTTTTAATCTACTGAATATGCAGAACAACAGTTATTGTGGCACAGGTGGGCTGTGGAATTTTTATAGCATGTTTGTGGCCTCAGAAAGAAAAAGGTTGAGAACACCTGGTGTAGAAGGTGAGGCACAGCTTAGGTGAGTAGACATATCAGAACCCTAGGGTACGTACCCTACATGACTCTCTACATGCCCAAGCCATGCCACCCACATCTACACTGCTGTCCCACTACCTCCCTAGTGCCGGAGACTTTTCCTACCTAATTGAAAGGCAGCAGGCGGAAGGCAGCAGGGAAAGGCTCTGGTGGTGGGGAGTTGGTAGAGAGAGGCTCCGGCAGCCCCATGGAAGAATTGAACCTCTAGCGATGCTTCAAATGTTCTTTTTTGACTTAGCAAGTTGCAGTAAGTGCAGTTCTATTACAAAAATGGTAGGAAAAAATTATATGGATGGATAAACACATAAATCATCTGAGCATCTAGTTTTTATTGAATAAAAGGTTACACATAAAAAACTCTACCCAGGCTTGTTATAGAATCATAGAAATGTAGGGCTGAAAGGAACATCAAGAGGTCATCTACTCTAGCCCCCTGCATTGAGAGAGGACCAAGTACCATCCCTGACAGGAATTTGTCCAACCCATTCTTAAAAATCTCCAATGACAGAGATTCCACAACCTCCCTTTGAAGTCTATTCCAGTGCTTAACTATCCTTATAATTAGAATGTTTTCCCCAAATATGTAACCTAAATCTCCCTTGCTGCAGACTAAGCTGATTACTTCTTGTCCTACTTTCAGTGGACATGGAGAACCATTGATCATTGTCTTCTTTAGAGCAGCCCTTAGCATATTTGAAGACTTATCAGATCACCCCTCACACTTTTTTACTCAAGACTAAATGTGCCCAGTTCTTCTTTGAGTGTCCTGTGCATATGCCTACTCTTGGAATATGCTGACTGGTGCAGCTGGGACAGTGGAAACTTCTGGTAGCAGTACCTATTAGAGTGCTCATGTACTCCTCTCCCCTCAGCATTTGAGCATGTTCCAAAACTATTATTGCCATAGGCGCCGACTCTGTAGCACAAGTGACCCATAGCACAAGTGATTCCATATGCCAGGCTCTTCATTGGCTATGCAGGAACTTCAAACTCAGCATGGACAATATGCTAAGAATACTTCCTGTTCCAAGAAAAATTAATCTGTCTCTGACGTGGTGGATGAAACTACAGAATGTCCTCAAAGGAGGTTTGTTCAACCCAGCTCCTCCTATGTTAAGAGATTACCACAGATGTGTCCATGATAGGTTGAGGAGCATATCTCTGCAACCGTTTAATTTGAGATTTTTGGAGCTGCAGAGAATCCCTATTGCACATAAACACATTAGAACTGACAGCGATCCATCTGGCTCTCAAAGCATTTCTTCCCCAGGTGCAGAATGTAGTAGTTCAAATGGTTATGGACATGTCCGTAATGTATTATTTGAACAAACAGGAAGGAGCTCAATCGTTTCAACTGCGAAACAAAGCAATAAAACTTTTGGAGTGGTGTATCCTATATAACATTTACCCAGTTGCCTTGCAGGCAGCAGCAGAATACAGTGAAATTGTGGAACAACTGCGCAGGTGTATGAGTGGCCTCTAAAGACTCAGTGATTCAGAATATTTTCAGTCTTTGTTCGTTTCTGGACAGAGATTCATCACCAAGACCCAGTATGAAATGCCCCTGTTTTTGCTTAAGAGTGGGCTCAGACAGTCAGTCATTGATGGATGCGTTTCTGCTTGATTGGGGAAGGGGCCTGATGTATGCATTTCCCCCATTCCCTCTGATCCTAAAGGTGCTAAAGAAAATAAGACAGGATTCGATCAGGGTTAATTTTAGTTGCTCCTGTATGGCCGAGGCAGAGTATTACACTGAGTTAATCCATTTATCCAATAGTAAATACAAGATGCTCCCAATAACAACAGACATACTGGCCAAGCAATAGGGGAAGGTCTTCTACCCAGATCTGCAATCGTTAGATATGACAGCTTGGGCAATAGGCCTTTGACAGATTTAGAAATATCATGCTCTTTTGAGATGCAGCAAGTTCTAATTAATGCTAGGAAACTATCTACTAGAAAAAGTTACAGTTTTAAGTGAAAAAGATTTGTTGTACGGGTGTCTGGTAAGAATGTTGGTCTAGTTTCAGTTCCTATGCAACTTATTTTAGAATACTTGCTACACTAAAAAGCAATGAGTTTGCCTCTCTCCTCCATTAAGGTCCTCTTAGTAGCTATAGCAGCATTTCATACTCACATTATGGAAAATAATTGTTTTCACATATATTGGTGAAAAATTGTTTTGAAAAAGACTTATTGAATCTGTATCTGCCAGTATGGGACCTTGTCCCTTTGTGGAATTTGACCTTAGTTTTAATGCAACTTATGTCTCCCCGGATTTGAACCTCTAGTGAGCTGCTCTTTTTTCATCTTTCTATAAAACAGCTTTTTTAATAGCAATCACTTCTGCTAAAAAAGTTAGTAAGCTACATGCCTTAATGGCGGGAGCCTCCTTATTACTTTTTATAAGCACAGGGTGGTTCGTAGATTGCATCCCAAATTCCTTCCTAAAATATTTTTTGAGTTTCATATAAATCAAAGTATTAATTTACCAGTATTCTTTTCAAAACCTCAGACATATAAAGGGGAATCTGTTACATTCCTTAGTTGCAAAGAGAGCACTCTCATATTATCTGGATAAAACTAAAAAGTTCAGGTCCTCTCCCAAGTTATTTGTCTCATATGC